CCCTGGGAAGCCTTCTCTTCCCATCCCACCCAGCCTGGCGCTCATGTGAGGAAACCTTTTTTCTTGGCGTTCCCAGGTGGCAACCGAGCAAACCAACATAGAGCACCCAGGCCAGGAATAGCCTTCAGCCACGTGACATGGAAGAAAGGGTCTGTTCTCCAGCCTGAACCTCCCAGCTCCCAGGCTCTTCCCTGCACCCAGTGTGTGGCTCTCTCCAGTGACTTCCAGAGGCTGGGGCACTCGAGCCCAGGGCCACTCCTGACATTCCCCAGCCCGTGTTGGACTGTGCCTGCCAGGTCTGTCTCCTTGGTGGTCTGTGTGTGGGACGCTGTGTAATTCAACAGACCAGGACGCATGCACTCAGTGCTTACTGCGTGTGTGACAAATGCCAATGGCACAGACCCTTACTTCCTGTTTCCAGGTAATTCTGGGGCTCACATGCTCTGAAGTCATACCAGGCCAAAGATAGGAAGTTGACCTGCTGAGATAACAGCAGACACAACATCCTGTTTGTGACTCTCTTTTTCCGATGAAGGTTGGAACAAACTTTCATTCTAGAAGGATCCTCAGCGGAGGGGTTGTGACTCTAGTGATTGGGCAGGACACTCGAGGAGCCAAATTCATGGTGGATAAACTACATCTTAATTTTTTGGTTCATTGATCAGCTCTGAGGGTTCATGGGAGCCACCTGAGGGAGCCTAGCCTGCCCCAGTCCCAGGACGGTGTCTAGCCTGAGAGTGGCAGAAAGCTCTGGGCAGAGGACAGAGCTGGGCCTTGGAGACAGACAGCCACCCAGGCTCCCGGCCACATGGCTCTGAAGCCAGCACAGGTGTTTCTGCACCTGTGGGAACAAGGGGCACAGCTGGATCACCTCCTGCCAGGGGAAAGGTGGTCTCCGCATCTGCACTGGTGGTTTTCCAAACGCGAGGTCTTTGCCACAGCCCTGGGAAGCCAGCTGGCTGGGAGTTACTGCTCCCATTTAATTAGTAAGAAAGCTAGTTTCAGGGTCCCTCCCTTACAGCTGCTTTACTACCACCTTTCATGCTCTGCATTTCCCGCCGGCCCTTACGAAGGGGAAAGACACCTTGACCTGCAGTGCCAAAGGCCGAGGCGGGCAGGTGTGGCGTGCCTGTGTCAGGGGTCCCGGGGCGTCCTGGCCCTCTCTGAAGCACCTGCACGAGAGTACTGAGTCAGGAACGCTGCAGTGTCCTCTGTGACCCCAGGCTCCCACGGCTGCTGCCTCTGTCCACCCAGTGCGCTGCCCGAGGAGCCGTGGGCCGCTCTCATAGAAGAGAGAGAGAGACCGAGGGAAGGAGAGAGAGAGGGAAGAAGGGAGGAAGACAAGGAGAAAGGGAGAGAAGAAAGGGAAAGAAATAGAGAGAAAGAGGGAAGGGGAGGGAGGGAGAGAAGGGGGGCTCAAGGGAACTAGAAAAGAAACAAGCCCTCTGTGACAGAACTCGACTCCCTGGAAAAGACATGGAGGGGAAATGGCCATCAAAGAATTTCAAGGAAACAACATCTCGACAACCAGCCAGTGAGGCTTTCCTCCCACTTCCTGCCATCCATCTCCATTTTCTGTCTTCAGTCCCTCTCTCCTCCCACCCTCGGTTCATGTCCCTGAACCGGCAGGGCCCTCTGGTACTCCCTTCTGTCCCCCCGCCCACTGCCCGTCAGCTGAGCTCTGCCTTCTGGACGATGCTACATCAGGAATTCACCGAAACCCCCAATCTCAGATCGTTCCAAATCCCTCCATGCCTCCCCCGGGACCCAGCTCCGGACATGACTCCACCAGTAGTCAGCAGGAAAACGGCAGCTAATCTGATCAGGGAGAACCAGACTTGGTTCACACCAGGCCTGACCCTGGCCTGTGCCAAGTCGTGCATAACTCCGGGAGGGAGTGGGGGAGGCTTCACCTGTCCGGGCCTCCATTCACCCACCCAAGGCAATGTGGGGAGGGAAAGCCTCTATTTCCAACACTCCCTGCCACGGAGGGAGTGGGGGAGGCTTCACCTGTCCGGGCCTCCATTCACCCACCCAAGGCAATGTGGGGAGGGAAAGCCTCTATTTCCAACACTCCCTGTCACGGACGGGCACATGCAGGCTTCCTTGGGTGTGAACAGAAATGGAGCCACATGCAAATGACACCATCCCGCTGGCTCGGCCCTGCGGTCAGCCAGGGCCTGACTGCCCAAGGTCTCCCAGCTAGCCAGCCAGGGGCGGGGGTTAGGAGTATGTGCTCAGCACAGAAAATGTTGCCCAGGAGAGCCCCAGGAGGCACACCTGGCCTTTCCAGCCTCCATGGCCCTTGTTTGGCAGTACAGCTGGCCTGAGGTCAGACAGATTCACAGCCTCTCCTTTGACAGTAACAGACATGAGGCAGCTGCGGGTCCCGCTGGGCGGTCAGAGCTGTCCAGGGCCCTGGCATCTCTCCGCAGCTCCAGTGACCCACAGCCTCCAGTTCCACAGGGTTCTTCCAGAACCGAGAGCTCCTTCCGCGCTGTCAGTTGCCCTGGAGACCCCCTATGTAGTCTGTTTGACCTCCACCGCTCTGGGAAAAGAAAACTTACCGTTGCTGTCATACAGATGAAGAAAGAGGGGCCCAGAAAGAAGAAGGACTTTTTCTAAAGTTGCACAGCCAGCGAGCGGCAGAACTGGGACTAAAATCTGGGATCGGGGCTCCTAAATCCACGGCACTATGTTGGGTCACTGCTTAAGGCCCATGTGAGTGGGCCCTGGCTGGTGTAGCTCAGTGGACTGAGCACGGGCTGTGAACCAAAGGGTCACCAGTTTGATTCCCAGTCAGGGCACGTGCCTGGGTTGCAGGCCAGGTCCCCAGTGGGGGGTGTTGGAGAGGCAACCACACACTGATGCTTCTCTCCCTCTTTTTCTCCTTCCCACCTGCTCTCTAAAAATAAGTAAATAAATTCTTTAAAAAAATTAAAAATTCTCTTCTTATCTTAAAAAGAAAAGACTCGTGTGAGAGGGCAGATAATAAGAAGAAGAAAAACACTCACTACCTTTAGGTTCTGTGCGAAACACTTCTCAGGCATCACCCCACTCATTCTTGAGGGCTTTGGTGGGAAAGATAAACTAACTTCTCCATTTCATAGATGAACAAGATACTGGGGCCCAGAGACTCTTGCCCAAAGTCATGTAGCAAATGACAGAAGTGTCAAGGTCAAACAGCTTGTGGAGTCAGGGTGGAGCCAGGGCTCAAACCTGGGTATGTAAAGAATTTCAGCTGAGGTGGAATGACGACCCGAGCCTTGTCCGAACAGGGAGATGGCCGTCTTCCAGCGGTATGCTGCTGGCCCCTCACTGAGTCTGGGGCAGGGTTGGGTTGGGGGAGGAGGAAGCAGGTAAAATCTAACTCTTTTCCAACAAGCGAAGAGGTTTATTTCCTCACGCAACGCTAATTCCTGTAGCCGCTTCTTTATCATTCCTAAGGACTGTGTGGAGTGTCACATGTTACTTTAAATTGTTATCGTCCGGGGACGGTATGGCCGACCTGCCTAGGGGAAGTAAACCCTCCACCTCCTTCCTCCAGCTGCGTTCTCTCTCTCTCAGCTTCCTTCCTCAGGGCTCTAAACGCGCATCGCTGTCTCACACCCCTCCTCTCCGACAGCTCCCAAGCCCGTGAAAGCAGGGGGGACCACGTCGGCATGTCCACTATGATATCGCCAGGCCCAGCACGGCGCCTGCCACACACACAGTCACCACATGCTGCACATTTGCCGAAGGAATGAACGATTTTCTGGTGGCCTCCTTTTTGAAATCACTATTAACTGGGTGCCCCTTGGGTGCTTGGCACCGCTGAATGATAGCCAGGTGAACATGGACCAGCCTGGAGGAAGTCTCGGTCCAGAGTGGGGGCAGAATATACGTGTCAGTACCACTTTAAATACATTGTAGAATACTGTGGAGGTCGAATCAATCGATGAATGACAATTTATCAGAGCCCCCTGGGAGAAAGGAGCCAAGCTCAGTGAGAATACAGGGAAAGGGGCCATTCATCTGCCTGGGGAGTTAAAGAAAGCTTTGCTGGCAGAGGACAGGGTGTGATTTCAGCCTTGGAGGGTGGGGAGTTTGCCCTGAAGGCAGCTGGGTTAGGGTTAGAGACACCGGTAATGAGCAAGGCTGTGCAGGTGTAAAATTCCTGCTTGAGGCTGGAGCAAGTGACCAGAGATGCCTCTTTGGGACCAGGCCACATATCATACATATATTTCCCAAGAGGTAGGTGTGGGTGGCCTGACAATGGCATTGTAATTAATAGACTTATCCTGTTGGGCTCCATTTAGAGTCATTCTGTGCAGAGACAAAATGTGATTAATCTTCTCAGTAAATGCACTTCCAAAAGCACTAAGGGAACTCTAGGGCACAGGTGCCAATCGCCCCAGGTTTTGGCCTTCAGGAGAGAGCAGGGTACAAGCCAGCACTTACATCACCCGAAGGTCAAGTGCCTGGAGTGTCTCCTGGCACCGCCGAGCCTCCCAGCTCCCTGTTCCAGGACGCAGTCCCTCCCCTCCTGGCCAGGGAGCTGGCCTGCGTGCCTGGACCCTGCCCCTAGAATTGGAGACAAGAGGCTGGGCGGGCTGCTTGGGGGCTCTTAGCTGCTGCAATCCTGCTGACTCAATCTCCACCAGGTGCTGCGAGGTGCACCGCCGGGGAGGCCCAGTCTTCAGTGTTTGACTAGCTCTCAGACCGTTTCCTGCTCAGATTTGGGAATTTTCAGGCTTAGAGGGAAAGTCCCTCGAGAGGAATGTTAGACAACAGCCGATCCACTTCGAGAGCGCGGAAGGGAAGGAAAGGAAAATCCGCAGCGAGAGCGAGGAAGGGTGCGAGGCAGTGGAGGAGGCATTGCTTCTCCGAGTTGAGTACAGAAGACCAGGCGACTGGAAGGCAGGCGGGGAAGCCCAGCTCGAGGGTGGGGGCGGGGAGGCGGCTCAGTGGGGCTCTGGAGTGTGTGTGATGCGAGCGTGTGTGTGTGTGTGTGTGTGTGTGTGTGTGTGTTTGCGCGCGCCCCCGCGCGCGCGCCTGGCGCCTGTCCAACGTAATTTCCCATAAACCACATGCCTAAGTCGCTTAAAAAGGCTGTGCCGAGGAGCTGGCGGAGCCGGCTGGGGAAAGTGAAAGTTTTGCCTGTTGCTCTCCGCGCTGTAGCCGGCTCTCCGGACTCCCGCAACAGCGGCCCGGCCCTTGGCGGGGCGCAGACTCGGCAGCGGCTCGCTAGCGAGCAAGCGAGAGAGGGCGGCCGACGCGCCCGGCCGGGACCCAGCTGCCCGTATGACCGCGCGGGGCGCCGCCGGGCGCTGCCCTACCACGGTAAGAGGCGGTAGCAGTGCAGGGTAGGGTTTGGTGCTCGGCGGCCACGCGGCCCCTCGGACCCGAATGTCCCCGCGCGCCGGCTGCAGAGGCTCTCCGGCGGGCTCCTGTCGCCTTCCCATCTTTGCGTGCAGGCTGCCCCGAGGGCGCTCGGGCTGAGACCCACTGAGGCCCTGCCGCTGCTGTTGGGGCTGCAGCGCTTGCCTGGGGAAGGGAAAGCGGCTCATCCTACTGCACGGAGGGGTACACTGAGCCACCCGCTGGCCAAAGAGAGAGGTTCGCAGCTCCGTGTCAACCAGGGGCCCCTGCCTCTACCTTCTGAGGGACCACTGCAGAGGGACTGGCTGAGTGGCAGTGCATTGAATGTGGCGCCTTCTCCAGGGGGCACCTTCCTCATCGACCCCGCACATGCTTTAGGTTCTGCTGGGGAGTGTGCGCTTCTGGATGGAGAAAGTTCAGGGGTCATCAGCTTATAGAATTGTGCCCAGGAACAGCTGGCAGAAGGAAGGAGCTGGGCAAGTCTCTACTTGTCCCTCCAGCTTACTACGGAGCTGATGGGGACTTAGATGACAATCAAGTCTGTTTTGGAGAGACCAGACCCCAGAGTTGCCTGGGGATAGCTCTGAATTTTTTTTGCAAACTCAGGTGCAGTTCGTTGGGGGAGACCCTGGGCTTGCCGGGGATAGAGGACGGTGGGAGGCGGGTTTGGTGTTGGGGTGCGGTGGACAGGGGCTGCTCAGGACTGAATGGAGACAGTCCTGCCCGCACCGCAGGCAGCAGCTGCCATAACTCCTAGAAAGTGCAGGGTGGCACTGTTACGGAACAGTAAGTGGCCTCCCAGTGCGTTTGCTTCTGAGGAGCCCTGGGGAAGAATGGGAGGAGAAACCTGGGAGAAGAGAAGCAGGAAAGTGTTTGGAAAGTCAGGGAGGGGGTTGCAGGTGGGGCGAGGGGAGGGCAGAGCAGATCCACAGGGGAGGAAGAGCCCAACCTCGAGGGGAAATAGGGCTGAGAGGGGAACCGGGGAGGTCTAGGTGACAGGCTGCAAGACCCAGACAAGGAGCTGGAGGTGAAACCATGAGGCAAGAGGAGGAAAGTAAAGGGGGGCTGGCTTTAGGTAGGGCAGCCTGAGGGTACGCTTATGCCGGGGTCTCTCCAGCGACTGTCCACTGGGACGATAGGAACAGGATGGGAGGCCTTGAGGATGGACAGCTGGGAGGAGACGTCCGCATCTCTCTGAGCCCTCCACGGAGATTCCTTCCTGGCTGCCCTAGAGGCTGAGGCTGGTGGGTGGGAGGGAGAAAGGAGGAGGGAGAAGAGGCAGCCTAGCCAGATGCAAGCTAGAGCGTTAACCCTTGGATGCCCGTCCAGATCTCCCTATGAGGCAAAATTGGGCTCTGGGGAGCAGGGATCACCCCCTTTGGCCATCTTCAAAGTCAGCCTCCCACGTGGTGACTGCACTGTCCTCACCCCGATGCCTGAACAATCACCCAAAGCCAGGCAGCCCTGGGGGTTAAGCAGTGCCCTCCCCTTGAAGTGCCTGTGACAGCGATGTCTTCCTGAGCATCCCCGGGGCCTGCTTCTCCGCACAACTTACACGGGGGCCTCGGAGCCTCCTCAGTGGCAGCCGACCTGGGGCCCACACACCTGCGTGGCCCAGTTTCCTGAGTATCTGGACAGTCACTCCTTCCCAGGGCTACCTCCTCACTGTCCGGCCAGAGACAGAGGTCCCTCCCCCACCACCCCACCACCATGACTCCTCCCTCCTTCATGTTCTCCCTCCCCCGAGTCAGGCCAGGACCCTCACTGCATCCCTGTGCACAGTGGGACTGGGCATGCATGCCTCTTCCCTTCGGGTCATCCCTTCCCTCCTGGACATCAATTCCTCCCCATGTTTCCAGGCCTCACTGAGGCCCCTCCTGGCTGCAGCCTCCCTGGTAGCCCAGCCAGGACCTCTTCTCCCTGGTAAGAGCTGGCCAGCATCTGAGCTTTTAGTCATATGTAAATCAGCATGCCGCTGTGGGCTGTTTCCTAGCCTCTTTGTGTTTTTCCAACGTGCTGTTCACTTGCTGTATTTGTCTCATCTTCTGGGTTACTGAGGCAGAGTCTGGTGGAGCCCAGGAAGGTGCCAGCCCTCACCCCACCCCGACAGCATTTCCCTGACTCTCAGGGCATCCTTGGCTAGGAGGCGCCCTCCAGCTGGGGACAGAAAAGCCCAAGTGTTTTTCTCTATCTCTGGCTGGAGAAGGGGAGACTCAGGGCCAGAGAGAGGGGTGAGAAGGAAGGAGAGAGGAAGGAAGGGGACAGGCAGGGTGTCAGGAGCCAGTCCCACCACTCTGGGGGTCAGCAGCTACTGGGCCAGTTGGGTGCTGAAGAGGGGAGAGGTCTCAAAAAACACCCTGGCCCTTGTTAACAGCTGGCTGGCTGGATGCAGAGCTGGACAGGGGTCCAATAGGCAGGTGCCAGCCAGACAGCCTAGCGCTGGTGCCCCTGCCGCTGCCGCCACCGCCTCCATCTCTGGTTAATTTTGATGTGCTCGCGCATGCACGCACACACACACACACACACGGCCAGGGCTCCAAAGGTCTCTAGCATGGGGTAGATGCCCAGTGAAGCTGAGTGTGGGCCCCTGGCTTTTTTTGGTAGCAGAGCCAGACCCGTGTGGAAGCAGGTGGAAGGAAAGACTGAGCCCAAGGGAAATGTGTCTGGCTTCAAGTCTGGAAGCCAGTGCACGAACATGAACTTGAGAGGAATGGGCAGCTCCCAAGATACCTGGCTCGGTGCGCGATGCTGCAAGAACAGAAAAATGGGTAGAAGCAAGTCCTACACTCGAGGAGTTTCCTGTGTGACTGGACTTTGGATTAGTAGGCCTGCCACCCAAGCCCTCATCATGGGCCCTTGTGGAGTAAGCCTCGGCCTGGGTTCTTCTGGGAAGGTTTCTTGGAGTAGGTGACATTTGGGTTGTCATCGAGGGAGAGCAAGGTTGTGTGAGGCTGTTGGGCAACCTGAAGAAAGCTGGATTTGGGGAATGCTGCGTCCTGGAGTGAGGGGCAGAGCCGGTAGCCCTGCAGGTGTGAGGGCGTGGGGGTCCCCAGGGAGAGTAAGAGCTGGGGAGAAACGAGGCTGTCTCTCTCACAGACATGGCTGGGCCGCGTGCTACTGCTGGTCTGTCTCCTGGTGAGCAGCAGTATTGCCAAGGAGCAGTCGAAGCACTGTAGTCAAATGATCGGCGACGGACACCTGCAGCTCCTGCAGCAGCTGGTGAGTGTGTGGCCCCACCCACCCTGCTTTCTCTGCTTAGAGGACACTGAGGCAGGAGCCAATGGGACGAAGGGAGGGGTGGCAGGCAGAGAAGTAGGACTGTGCAGGTTGTGCCTACACTGATGGTCCCCCTCACCGACCTCCTCAAGGTCAAGGCCCCTGAGCCCCCTAAGCCCCCTCTGATTCCCCTGCAGGCAGGGGACAGGGTGGGCTGCCAGCTGGTTGCCTCGGGGAACACTTGCCAGGACTCTGAAGTCCCTCAGTGGGATGTGTCCTCCGAGGGGCCAGCCCAGTCTGCCTGCTGTGCCCAGACGTTGCCTCCTGCTCCTGGATTCCCAAACGTGATGTCAGCCCGGCAGCAGGCCCTCTGCCAGACCTGGAGCAGGGGCTCGTGCCTAACTCCCAGCCCTACACCCTCACAGCCCTGGCTCTTGCCCCAGCCCTAGGGCTAGAATGGCCGCTCGCCCTGGCCATGAAGGGGCCTGTGCCTCATTCTGACTGGGCCAGCAGTCACCAACAGTTCCGAATGTGACTCAGCCAAGCAGAATCAGGTTGCTGTCATGGCTGCTGTCTTGCTCAGGGGAGAACTGACCATCTCCCTGGCCAGCCAGGCAGAGTGGGGCACCACTGGCAAAGGCCAGCTGCAGGGCTCTGAGCTGGGAGCCTGTAGGCTGGGCCTCCTGCCTCACTCACCACCTCCCCCGAAATGTCCCCCCCCCACATTTCCTCCTGCATGCAGCTGCCACAGAAAGCTAAGGGGCACCAGGGGCCCCTCCTTGATGCTTCCCATCACATAACCACAGCCCTGGGGGCCAACCGGGGCATTTAACTCCAGCCCTTACAGATCCTGAATCCTCAGAATTTGTCTAGCCTCTGTTTGAATTCCTGCTATTACAGGAATTCAGGAATTCCCTCTTACAGGGAGCTCACTCCCTCTCTAGGAGGTTATGTCCTATATTCTCTCTCAGATACTTCCTCCCTAGAACAAGTTGGCATCTGTCAGATTTCATAGAGTGGGAAGTAGGAGGAAGAGACTTCCTGTCCCTCTGCAGCCCTCCCCTGGGCATGTGGGAGGCACAGGTCTTCTCGTGTTGTCTTTCCAGGTGTGGTTGGGGGAAGGTGGGTGAGGAGCAAAACCCCGACCCACCCAGAAACTCTAGTGCCCCTGGTGAGGCAAGCTCAACCAAGCTGCGGATGCCCTGCCACCCCTGGCCTGCTCTCTCTTACAGATTGACAGTCAGATGGAGACCTCGTGCAAAATCTCCTTTATGTTTGTAGATCAGAACTTGGTGAGTTAGGGCTCTTTTCAAGGCCCAGCTGGGCTGCTCTTCTCAGGGTGGGTACATGTGGGGGCGTGAAGGCTGGAGAAATCCTAGGGCTGGGTGCAATGAGGTGTGAGGATCCCTGGTGCTCAGCCTGGGGTGCCAGGGTCTGGGGCTGGGCAGAAGGAGGGGCTCAAGTCCCCGGCTGCTCCCTTCTCCTGGCACATGTCAAGATCTTCCAGGCACATTCCTAATTCGGTGTTGATGGAGCCACTGTGTGGTTCACTCGTCTTGCTTATGGTGCCCAGAGAGGTCAAGGGAGCACAGCTAGTAAGTGGTGGAGGTCTGATTTGAACACAGGCAGGCTGTCTCGAGGGCCTGAGGCAAACCCATACCTCTGGGTCACGTGCTTTGCCTAAGGATGTCACCTCCATCCAGCAGACAGACCATCCGCCAAGGGGTTGGTCCAGCCCTTTCCCTCCTCCTTCTCCCCCGTCCCTAAGCAGACACCAAGTGCAGCCGGGGTGGCCTCCCTATCAGCCGTTTGGGAGCTGCCCAAACGCCCTTGCTGCAGCCCGTGCACCCCTCATCCCACCACTAAGGGGAGCTCTCGGAACCCTAACCTGCTACTTCCTCTCCCTTCCCCTCAACCTGTCAGGGTCCCCGTGCCCCCACCCCACTGCCCCTCCAGAAGACAGCCTAGGTTGCTTAGCCTGGGGTTTATAAATGCCAGTCTCCACCCCACGGCCCCACCCACTGCCCCCATTCCCTGCTCCTTCCTGCCCCACAGACTTTGCACAGCTCTTCCTGGTGCCCCCATGCCTTTCCAACACCACCCCCCCGTCCCAGCCCTTTCTCCAGGTTTGTTCATCTCTGTGCCTCATACAAAGTCTCCTGGTGCCAGAGCTTGTTCCCACACACCTGCCCCACACACGCTCCTATTAGATCTGGAGACCACCTCGCAGTCCAAAGAATATGCTATTTCCTTCATCTGGTGCCAGGAATATAGAGCAAAAGCAGAGCCTCTGTTGAGGTGACTGCCACCTGCAGGGAGACAAAACCCTGAGGTTGTTCCTGTGACCTCTGTGGCCTGCAGGATTAGAAGGAAGCATGTGGAAAAGGACTTTCTGTGGGAGCAAGCTAAAAGAGAGGCAGAGAGAGCAAGACAAAAGTTCCCCAGAACCTACCTTCCTAGGCTTCTTCCAGAAATCCGAAACTCTCTCTAATCAGAGTCCACCTTTTCCTCCCTTTACCCACCTGCCCCCTCCTCCCACCGCCCCACAGTGCCAGATCCCAAAGAGAGAGACAGAAGGGCTAACCAAGGGCAATGTCTTCCTTAGCCTCTCCCCCAGGGTCGGGCCAGGGTCAGGACTGAGGTCAGGGTAGGGCAGGCTGCAGCCCTCCTTCTGCTGGGGTGGGGGCATCGGGCACACAGCTGAGGGTCCTGGCCTCACCAGCCAGACCATCAACTCCAGGTTCTCCTTTTCCAGACAGACCGAGTGTGTTACATTAGGAAGGCGTTTCTCTTGGTGCAAGACATACTGGAGGACACCATAAGCTTCAAAGGCAACACCTCCAATGCCAATGCCCTCTCAAAAATCCAGGAACTCTCCGTGAGGCTGAACGATTGCTTCCCCAAGGTCAACGACGAAGAACAGGACAAGGTAGGAGGGGCCTGGAGCCCACAGCCCTGCGTCAGGGCGCAGGGTGGCTGTGGTGGTGCCCTCCCTGCCCACGTGCCCAGACTGCATGCACTTCCTCACCCCGCAGCACGCTGCTCGCTTGCCCTCTCCTTCCCGTCTTCATTCCCCTTGCCTTCGCCGCCGACATCGGGCAGCAGGCGCAGCACCAGGCCTTGACTGTGTCTTCATGCACGAGAGCTGCCTGGTGCTGAACCTCACAGGGCTTGTCGTGAAAACAGACTGGCAGCCAGGAAACACCATAACATGAGCAAACAGAATCACAAACCACGGGGTCCCTCCCTTCCTTCCACAAAGTTAGCGAGCACCCACTCTGTACCAGGCACTGGTCCAGACACCAGGAGACAAAATAGAGGCAAAAATCCCCATGTGCATGGAGCTTACGTTGGGGGCTTTGGGGGCAGTGAGGCAGTTAACAAAGCAGGTCGAATAGGGGGAGCACCTGCGGCAGTAGCTGCACTGCAGGAGACCAGGGATGGGAAGGTGGGAAGGTGAGGGTGGGAACCCTGAAGGAGCCCCCTCTGGGAGGGAGAAGCAGGACTCTGATTTAACAGGGGTGGGGAGGAAGAGACAGAGGTTCTGAGTAAGAAAACTGTCATTTGAGGCCCAATGATGGGCGAGTGGGGAAGCAGTAAGCCTGGTCAGAGCCCTGAGGTGAGCAGGAGTGGGCTTGTTCAGGACCCAGAGGTTAGGCTGCAGGCAGCGTGGACGGGAAGGGTGGAGAGGCGTGGAGGCCGCAGCTGGATCCCCTGAGTCCTAACAACATGAGATTTGATGTAAAGTGTGAGGGGCAGCCCTGGCGAAGAGGCAGGCAGGCAGGCAGGCAGGCAGGCGGGCGGGTGACCTGACCTAATTTGCATGTGAGGACATTCTGGCTGCTGTGCGGAGGAGCCTGGAGGCTGGGAGACCAGCAGGAGACCCTAGTCCCAGGCAGAGCCCGGAGTGGCAGCTGGTGCCGCCCCAGGGTGACCAGAAAGAGGAGCTAGAGACGACACTGGAGGGGCTCGGCTCCAAGGAGCGCAGAGAGAGAGGTCGCCAGAGGGAGCGTGGGATTGAGGGAGGAAGCCTGTCTTAAGGAGGTGTTAAATCTGTGATTTTCCAATGTTAATGTGCTTCAGAACCACTTGGGGAGCTTATTTAAAATGCAGATTCCCAGTGTGCACCCTTAGAGGGTCTGATTCACTGGGTCTGTGAGCGGGCCCAGGGACTGGCATTTCAACGAGGCGCCCGCCCTGTAGGACTCCCATGAATGAATGCCTGTGGCCCAGGGGGGCCGAAGTGGTGAATCAGGAAGAGCTAGTCCCCAGCCGGCTTGGCTGGGGAGGTATTCAGAGCTCCTGAGCTGGGGAGAAACTGTTTTTCTCGTGAAGAAAGGCAAGGGAGCCAGCCTAGCTCTTGTCACTAACAGCCCTGGGGGAAGCTGGCAGGGATTATCGTTTTGACTCTGCAGAGGAGGAAATGGGCCCAAACAGGGTAGTCCCTTCGGGCAGCGTCACCAAGCCGGTGAGTGGTAGGACAGAGCCCAGGTCTTCTTATCCACACCCCTTTCATCGTCTGCCTGGTACACAGGCATGGGCGCCCAGTGATGCCCACCACGTCGCAGCCCCGTCAAGTTCTTCCCTGTGCTGCAAGGAGGCCATAGATGAGGCCAAGGGTGTGCATGGCACTGCCTGGCCTGTGTGACACCTGGGCGGGCCCAGGGCGGAGCCCTGAGGAGTGCCAGTGTGCAGAAGTCAAGTGCAGGAGAGGAGCCTGGTCAGGACTGAGCAGGAGCTGCCCAAAAATTGGGAGAGAAGGGAGTGTGTGTGTGAGGTGTCTCAGAGCGCCGGTGGCTGTGGGGAGCCTGTGTCCCCCAAGCAGAGAGAAGCAGGGGAGAGCTCTGTGGACCTCCTTCCAAGACGCCAACACAGAAGAAGCACAAACAGCCCCAGGGCCCCTCCAGGCCCTTTTCTACACCACGGCACCACCCACCCCTTCCTCAGTAACCCCTGGCACGTGTTCTTTGCTCTTCGCTCTGTGGCTGAGGCTAACCGTTCTTGGCAAGGCCAACAAGGAGCTGCAGGACCGGCCCTGGCTGACCTCTCTCGGTGGCATCTCCCACCCCTCTCCTCCTGGAGGGCAGTACCGTAGCCACTCTAGCCTTCTTATGCTCTTTTGACAGTTCAGGTCCTTTTCTGCCTGAACTGTCAACAGACCTTTGCACAGTCCGTTCCCACTCCCTGGACAGCTCTCTCCAGCTCCGCCTCTTTTCCTAGTTAACTTTTGCTCATCTGGTAGTCCCTTCTTAAGGACATTCCTCCTGAGCCCTTTTTCTATACCCTTGGACCTTCAGTACTCCTTCATAGCACTCCCCAGGCTTGGAACAATGGGATTAGTGCCCGTGCCTTGCGGGACTCAATGTCCAGCTTGGCCGGGGACCACCTCTCTCGTTCACTGCATGATTCCCAGGTAATTACCATATGCCTGATACATCTCTGAATAGATAGCATACCTCCTGGCCTCAGGACTGGTTCTGCTGCAAACCAGGGCGGAGGGGAGGGAGAAAATCAAAGAGGAAAAGCAAGTAGATGTGGTAGAAGCTCAGGGAGTTTGACAAACAAGCTAGAGACACAGGGTCGGTGGTCGTTCTAACCCAGGGGGAACTTGCTCTCCTTTCAGGCCTGTGTCCAAAATTTCTCCGAGTCGCCCCTCTGGTTGCTGGAGAAGATCAAGAATGTCTTTAGTGAAATGAAGAATCTCCTTAAAGACAACCAGGACATTTTCAGCAAGGATTGCAGCGACAGCTTTGCTGAATGCTCCAGCCAAGGTAAGCACCAAGGGGCCAGCAAGTGTGAGGCTGGGGAGGGTGTGGGGACTGGGGCAGGGGTTGGGGCTGGGACATGGGGCTGGAGGGACCCCAGGGAGGCAGCCTGGCTGCTACTCGTGCTCCTGTGTGTGTAGACGTGCTTGTCCTGTGTACATATGTGGCTTTGTGTACCTCTGGGTGGTCTTGAGCACATGTCTCTTCTGACATGTGTGTGCATGTACACCTACATATGTCTGCATGTCAAGGCATCAAGAAGGAACGTGCTGGTGGCTGTGGAATTAGGGAGTGGAAAAGGGGGCCCTCTTGGAGAGCCCCGCAGGCACGGCAGCTTTTCCCACCGGCTCTGCAGGCTGGCTGAACATGCGGGGGGTTCCGTGGAGAGCGCAGAGGCTCCACATGGAGTCGGGGGCCCTGCTCCGGGACCCCTGCTGTGAACCACCAGGATACTCTGGCTCTGGAAGTCCTCAGGAGGCCTTGAGTGTCCCCTCAAGGGACAGGCTGGATTTGAAGTCTGAACATCATCCAAACTCTCCCGGTGCTGGCACCTGTGGCACACGTGTTCCCCGAGTGTCCTCGTCTCTGCGTCCTGTGTCACCTGTGCCCTCCTCCATGCAACCTTGCTCCCCGAGGCAGGCACTGCGGCCCCACCACCTGCCAATGGCCAAGTCCGGTCTCCTTGTTTCCATCCTGAGGCCTCAAGCCTTGCCACATTCCAGCCCCAGCCTGTCCCCGCCCATGGCTATGGCAGTGTGGCCCTTGCTGTGCATGAAACCACCTTGCTGCTTCTAGCTGGTGCAGTGTCCTGCGGGGCTTGCGGGTGTCCTGTGTTAGTCCTCGAGGCCGCTGCTCAACCCCCTGGCCGGCCATGGCTCACCCCTGGCTTGGCGTGTGGCCGGCTGGAACTCCAGGAAGGGCTGTGCTCTGGTCTTCGCTGACCCGATCCCTGTCTGTGCCTCTAAACCCTGCTCCTTCTTGCCTGCCTGAACGTCCTGCAGTTTGCATCCTCCCTGTCTGCTGCCCGTGACGTGAGCATTGGCTCCGGTGCTGTCCTGTCCTCAGCCCCCGGGCTGAGTTGGGGGACGCGGGGCCTCCCAGACCCTCACCCCTCTCCAGTGTCTCTGGGAGAGCTGCGCTAGAAGCTGGTGACTCTATCTCCTCCCCGTCATTCTCTCTCCCTCTCTGTGGTTCTTTCAGATGTGGCGACCCAGCCTGATTGCAACTGCCTGTACCCCAAAGCCACCCCTAGCAGTGACCCGGCCTCTGTCTCCCCTCAGCAGCCCCTTGCCCCCTCCAGTGCCCCTTTGGCTGGCTTGACCTGGGCTGAGGCTGAGGGGACAGAGGACAGTTCCCTCTTGCCCAGTGAGCAGCCCCCTCGCACAGTGGACCTGGGCAGCACCAAGCAGCGACCACCCAGGAGCACCTGCCAGAGCTTTGAGTCATCAGAGACCCCAGGCGTCGAGGGAGGCCCCACAGGAGGTTCACCTCAGCCCCACCCCCCCGCCGGGGGCCCCGTCCCTGGGTCAGAGGATGTTCTTGATTTTGTGCTGAGTACAGACTGGGCCCTAGAAGAGGCCTCTGGAGAAGCTAGTGAGGGTCTTGGACAACAAGGGCCAGAGCCTTCCTCCTCCAGGCTGGGAGGAGGCCGTGTCCAGGCAGAGAGCACCAGAGCCAGTGACATCATTTCGGCATCTCCATCCTCCGGGTCCGCCAAGGGCCGGCTGCCAGCGGATGGAACTGGCACCTCCCCACCGGAGTTGGGCCCCGTGAGACGCACTGGCCAGACCCGGAGTCACACACCTGAGAAGAACGACCGTCCCACTCTGCCACCTAGAGACCACCAGGCGCCAGGCTCTGCCAGGACCCTGTCACTGCACCCGAAAGGCCTCAGCCGTCCCTCCACCCTCTCTGCTCAGCCAAGGCTTCCCAGCAGCCACTCCCGGGGCAGTGTGCCGCCCCTCCCGGAGCTGCAGGGCAAGCGCAGCAGCACCAGGGCACGGCGGAGCCCTGCAGGGCAGGAAAGAGGAGGAACTCGTGAGGGGGCGGCCCTGCCCCATGCCCATTTTAACTCCGTTCCTTTGACTGACACAGGCCATGAGCAGCACCCAACACCCCAGCCCCCTGAGCCTCTCCTTGCCCCGCTGGCATCTGGTGGCGGTGGCGTCATCCTGGTCCTGCTGGCCCTGGGCGGACTGCTGTTCTACGGATGGAGACGCCGGGTAAGAGGAGCCCAATGTCAGAGATGGGCATCTCATGGGGACAGTGGCACAGCCAGGTGGAGGAGCAAGTCCAGCCTGGTAGCAGGCTGGCTGGGGCTCGGCCTGGGTTCTCCAGATGCACAGACAGGGGAGGCTGATTGAGCAAAGATGGGGGCGGGCGGGGGATCGAAATGGAGGGAAGAAAGGGAGGGCTCAGGCTGTTAGGCCAATAGGGAGGGCCGGGGCAGCAGGGCGTGGGAAAGAATCTTCCTGGGCCAGAAGCAGGCTGAGAACCCAGGTGGGAGGAAAGTGATGCTGTGTGGGCCAGGGCTGGGCGTTCCCTGGGGCCAGGGGACCTCAGGATAGGAGACAGCCTGCGGGGGCTCTCCAGGAAGCTCCCCTGGCCCTATGGCTGATCCCCACTTCTGGGCAGCTGGGGGAGACTTTGGTAACTCACAGACTCCCCAGCAGCCCTGCCCGGGGGTGGGGCCATGCTCCCTCCAGCTGCTCAGTGAGTCCACTCTCTTCTATCCCCAGAGCCTTCGAGAGCCTCAGACAGTGGACTGTCCCATGGATCAACCAGAGGGCAGGTGAGGCTCTGTAGGCACTGAGGCCTGTCTTGGCATCTCTGTCCCCTCCAGGTTTGAGGGAGACCCTCCTCCACTTGCTCGGAGGCTGTGGAGTTCAGAACAGGATTGGAGGGTAGAGAGGGGGAAGGGCGTCCTTTCTTTCCTATTTATCTGGGATCTTTCCTGATTTTTTTCTTAGGGTTAGGTCTCTGGTGTTCTAAACCTGAGAGGGTTAGAGCCCATGTGCGGGGGTTGGGGGGCAAACTTTCGGGTTTCCTCACTGCCAGCCTCTGCTGGTGGAGTCTGACGCCAGCCCTGTGCTCTGCCCACAGCCCCCTCACCCAGGATGAGGACAGACAGGTGGACATTCCGGTGTAGAAGGAATTCTAAGGTAAGACTCTGGCTTTGGATCTCTCTCTCTACCCCTAAAAATGAGCTACATCCTTTTCCAGTCATCCTAATTTTGTGACACCATCCACTCCCTGAAGGCCCACGGGTTCAGCTCGAGCCCCTCCCTCTTGCTCCGTCTTCCATTCATCACCCGGGCTGGCCGACGCTCCCTTTCTGGGTCCTCAGGACCCCTCCATTCCCTCCGCCCATCTGAAGCCAGGCACTGTTCTTGCTGCACTGGGTCATTACTTCTGCCTCGGGCTTCCAGTCTTCCTGCCCCCGTCCACATGCCACAGCCACCCACATCCTCTCGTGTAAGGTCTTTACCCTCCCGGAGAATTTCAGTAGCTGCGCATCCCCAGCCACATCCAGCCACTCTTCTCAACCTCCATCAGCAGCTGCTGCCCACGTGCCTCTTGCCACTTTCTTCTCTGCTTGCGCCCTGGTTTGGCCAATCTCTCCTGCCAGGACCATCATCCTTGCCTCCCTGCATTCAGATTCATGGAGCTGTAGAACCTCAGTCTTGGAAGGGCTCTCAGAGGTCATGGGGCCGAGCATCCTACCCCAAAGGGGCCTTCCCCTCTCTGCCTCCCTGACTGGGATTCACCCAGCTTCCGATCACACACTCCCAGAGCCAGGCCAGCTCCCTGCCACCAGCCGATGGCACCATGAGGAAGTCCTTCCTTACCTGATGCTCAACCCACTTTCTGGCCGCCCCCACCCCCGCCCTTCACGCTGGTCCTCCCTCCTAGTCTCATGAGAGCCCCCTGATAGCTAAAGTCAGTTATCCACGTCCCCTTTAAGAATTCTCTACGCTAAGTGTGGCCAAGTCCCTCAAACATTCCTTATGTGATGTGGTTTTCAGACCCCTCACCATCCTGGTCGCCCTCCTTTGGACACACTCGTTTGTCAATGTCCCTCTGAGAATGTGGCGCCCAGCCCTGGACACAGTGCTCCAGACGTTGTCTGACCAGCTCAGAGTGCAGTGGGACTCTTGCCTTCCTTGATCTGGACAGTGTTCTGCTATGCGTACAGATTAAGATTGCATTCGTTTTTGTTTTGTTTTTTCCTTTTTTAAACGACTGCATTATACCGTTGTCATATATTGAGCATGTGATCTTTTAAACCCCCAATTACTACCCCACCTTAAGCCTCTCTCAAGCCAGACCTCTATCCTGTACTTGGACAACTTGATTGTTTTAACCAAAGTTCAGAGGTTTATATTCATCCTTGTCAAAACCAGCCCACTGGGGTCTGCCCACCCCCCGCATCTACGGAAGTTGTTTCCATCCTAATTCTGTCTTCCGGGCCCTGCCAAGTGTGTCTGCTGCACACTGATGGCCGCCTTCTGTCGTCCTCACCCACGTTGTTGATAAACTCGGGACCCTGGCTCCCCTGCTCCGGGGCCAGGTGGCCCCGCCCTCCTTCCCTCCCTCCCCTCCGCCCACAGTTAGCTCCAGGAGGTCTCCCTGATATCTGCACCACCCTCTGGTAGCTCCTCTGTTTCATGCCCCTATGGTCTCTTATATTCGGTTAATACTGTATCGGTTTGCACAGACTTGGATGTTGTTTTTATACATTTCAATTCCTGTTTTACGTGTATGTGTACATTCTGCCCTCTCGAGAAGGCTGTAAGCCCCTTGAGGGCAGGGACCGTATCTCCCGCTGTTTTTGCATTTCTTTTCCTGTCCCGGGTTCTGAAACAAAGAGGGCTTCTCTGCACTTGCCAAGAATGCAATAAATGTTGACCGACTGGCTTCAGGGCTGACTAACCCATTGACTCTGGCCAGTCCTCTCTAACTGACCAGCCTTCTGGCTGACCACTTAGCCGGCTAACTAACTGATGCTGACTGAATGGTTGACCAGCAGGCTGGGGGGCTCTGACTGACCAGTGGACTAGCTAGTAACTGTCTAACTGGTTAGTTGTTGACTGGAGAGTTGACTGGCTCACTGGCTAAGCAGGCTGAGAGCCTGACTTGCTGACTGGCTGGCTGGCGGACGAGTTGGGGTGCCCCGTTAAACTTTTCAGTCACACCCGTGCCAAACGCAACCCAGCCCCCTAGGGCCTTCCCAGGTGTAGGGTGACATATCTGGGCCACTCCTAGCAGGTAGGGCATCTAAGAAATCTTCCGAGCCAGGGGAGCCCATTCAGAAGAGGGCAAAACTGCTGCAGCTGGAATCCTGAGGTCAATCTTGTGGGCAGGGAGAGTAGGCTGGAATCCTGGGAACAGGCCGGGCTTCGGGGACGACCCAGGCCCATTGGGACTGCCAGGCAGAGGGTGGACTGGGGTCCCTGGGGACTCTGTGGCTCAGCGCTGTACCACCCTCTGGCGGGTGGCCAGCCCATCCGCTGGGTCTTGGCCACCTGCCTTGTGCAGTCTCACGCCCTTTTCCCTGCCTGCCTCCTCTCAGGCCTTCCTCCCCTGCAGGTTTCACTCAGAGAGGGAAGCCAGGGTAGGGGCCACAACCAGACGCCCGCCTTGGATCAGTGGCTACAGCCCTTAGGTGGGCTCTGGCCAGGCACCAGGAGACTCAGGGAGGTTCGGGGCCAGCCCCACACTGACTGCCGCTCGGACAAGAGATGGGAGAGGCACCCTCAGGAAGAAGACATGACACCAGCCCCTCCAGTCCAGGGAAGCAGGAGCCGGGGCAGCAGGCTGGAGCTCGCCCACTTGGCCCTCCTTCCCTGCTGGCCCCAGCAGTGCCTGTGGGCCAGCTGTACCCAGCGGGGCTCATGTCCAGTTTATGGCTCCCCCATCCTCTCCCTCCAGAGCATGGGAATGGGCTGGGAGCCAGAGGCTGTGGTTCCATCTTTTCCTTTGCCCATCACGGGCTTGGCCAGGAGGGCGTGGACGGTCAGGGAGGGCAGCTCCACACAGGGGCCAGAGTCGGACTGCTGGATGGAGTCCAGGGGATTTCTGGTCTGGGAACAAAGCGTTCTGAGGATGCTGGGCAAGGGGACAAGGATGGGGGTGGGGCGGGGAGCGCGCAGGGCCCTGACTCCCATCCGGAAGGAGTATGCCTAGTGATACGGGGGGCGGGAAGTGTCCTTGTCCCAGGACTACTTCTAGCTCTTCATCTTCAGTTGCCTCTGCACCACTGTCCCGATGGTTGTGTGTGGTGACCCTCTGTGATGACCGACATGGAGGAGGGACTGAGAACTCTCTTCTTCACTAGAGTTAGCAGGATTTGCCCTGGGACCACAGCCAGCGAGCTGGTCTTGCCTGAGGAGGAGTCTCAGGACACTCAGGTCCCACGGCCCTCCCTGTCAGACCCCATCGCTTGAGCAGTGCCCCCTCGTCCATGCTCAGACCTCCTCCAGGCCTCACTGTGGTCCCTTTTCCCCAGGAGGAGGTAGGAGGTGAGGGCAGTCTGGCTCGTGGCTGGGATGCCTGCCAGAGAAAGCTGCCTGGTCCCTTGCGGTGGCTGGGGCGGCTGGGAAGCCGAGGCAGAGGACGGAAGGAAGGCCCTGCCTGCAGCACCGCCCGCGGCCCAGGGGAGCGCAACGCCTTGACTCCCCAGCCCGTGTCCTCAGCGACCCCTCCCTCCGTCCCCACTCGGCTGATGCTGACAAGCCTTTCTTTCTCTCCCCTACAGCTGGGCGCACAGGATAATCTCTCCATGGCAGGAGACCTTGGGGGGCGCCCGCCACCCTCCTCCTCAGCCATTCTCCCGGGAACACAGCCTGCCTCCCATGAGAACTCATGCCTGCCCAGTGAGACCAGAGCAGCCAGGCCGGGGTCCCTCCGCCCTCGACCCACAGACTCCAGACTGACTCAGAGAGGGCCGGAGGATGCCCCCCGCGCTGCTGATATTTATCGTGGGCCCTGGAGGCTCCTACCCACTGGACGGAGGCTGGCGAGCCCAGCCTAGCACCCTCTGCCCCTCAGGGGCTGCTCTCTCCTCCTACCCCCCGCCAAGCCGGCCCCTGGGCCGGGGACCCAGAGGCCTGTGGATGTGGACGCTGAGGAATGGAAGAGCCCTCGTGCCCAGAGGACCTGTTTGGTGCCAAGGGATGGATCTCTATCCCAACAAGCAGGGACTTGTCCCAGAGAGAGAGTCATGGCGATTTGCAGGGTGGGCCAGTGGCGGCCGGGTTTCCCGGAAAGGTGTGCAGCCCAGAAGATGGCAAGAGAAGGCCTGCTGGGCTCTGCTCGCCCAGGTGTCCTCAGTACCTGCCTGGCTCGAGATGCCAAGGTGAAGACCAGGTCTGGCCCCTGCCCTGCCGCCCTTCCGGCACCTGCCAGGGCTCCTCTGCGGGGCCACACGGAGGCCCCCCTCCTGAAGGAAGCCGTTGCACTGTGAAGACTGAACCTGCCTGCTGTACGGCCCACCCGTCCATCCCATGAACAAACATCCATCCATCCTCCCATCCCTTCAGCCTCTCCCCAGCTTCTGCACTGAGCGCCCGAGCCGGCCTCGCCCGTGGACCACGGGAGCCCCGGAGCCCTGACCTTCTGCTGATCCGGCCTGTGACTCCCTGGGGTGGATCCGGGCGGGAGAGCTGCCTGGGCCGCCAGCCAGAGCAGGTCTCTAGGTTGTATTGTTGGCCCAGGTTTCTGCATTTTGCACTTTGATGTTCCCCAAAGGGAAGTGACTAGTGGGAGGGAGGAGAGGGAGGGGAGGGCAGAAATAGGCACAGGAGGGTCTTTGAAATGATGGATGTGCCCCTGAGGTTGCGGGGAGGCGTCTGCACCCGTGGCCTCTGCCGCAGACACGGCTGCAAGGCCACTGCCCACAGGGACCTGGGCCTGGGTGGGTGGTCCCTGTTAGGAGCTTGGTAGGCAGTGATACCTCCAGCTCTCACCCCAGCCACCCACCCATGGCCACCATCTCTCTGACCAGGCAACCCCGGGGGGCGGAGGGCCGGGACACCTGCTTCAAGTCTGCCTTGTGCTGCTGTGTCCCTCCTCCCCTGCTCCCTGGGCCCTCCACTTACAGACTCCGCCTTGCCTGGGTCCTGGGCTGGGGCCCACGCCTGCCTCCCTTGCCCGCTGCCGCCAGCTGAGGGAAGGAGGCAGAGAACTTCCCCCTGGGGCTCCTCCTTCTAGTCATAGACTCTAGATTTGATGCTAGAACGTATGTATTTGAAAGTGGAAGGGAAAAAAAAAACAGAAAAAAAGGCATTCTTCCTCCATCCCCACCCCTTAAACCTATAGTATTTCATAAGTCAAGAAAGCAAAGAGCTTCTACAGTGGACTTGCTCTCTTGACCCAGGAACGGGAGGCCCCCGGCCACCCGCACAGGAAACCCTTCTTTTTCTCTGAGAAAGCCGAGAGGGAACATTGGCTCACACACTGTGAGATTTTGTTTTTATACTTGGAAGTGGTGAATTATTTTATATAAAGTCATTTAAATATCTATTTAAAAAATAGGAAGCTGCTTATATATTTAATAATAAAAGAAGCGCACGAGCTGCCACGCGTGAGTCACAGGAAATGTTGTTTTGGGGTATGGGTGGCCATCAGCTCAGAAGGCTTTTTCCAAGGTGCTTGGGGAGGAAAGTGTCTCCCCAGGTTCCAGCCTTTTACCAAAATCTCCCGCACTGGTGTCTCCCAGGCACCCCAGTCAGCATATCTGCTTAACAGGAAAATGACAGGAACCAGCGACCTCAGCCGGCCACCAGCCTAGGCTGGCCTGGGAAAGTGGCTGGGTGGGGTTTGTCCAAGGGCCAGGGGCTGCAAGGACCAGGCCCCTGACCTCTGACCCCTGCTGTCCAGGGGGGCAGGGAGCTGGCCAGGTCCTGGCACTGCCCAGGTGAATGGGCAGTGTGTCTGGGCTGGGAAGTGGGTGAGGATGGGAGGGTCTGGAGCCAGCAGGCTGTGCGATCCTGCTGGCGGTGGAGAGGAGCCGGAGGACGGCTTGGTGGGGGGTTGGCAGGGGGAGGTTGGTGGGAGCAAAGCAGTTGAATTCCAGACATGCCCCCTGGGCCAAGCTGTGACATGAGGGGCCTCCCCACCCCGAGAGTGTGGTGGACCAAGTTTTGGACCGCTGGTTCTCCACGCTGGCTCACGTAAGAAGCACTTGGGTTGTTCCAGAAGACACTGATACCCACGCCCACCTCGATGAACAGAACCAGGGCATGGGGGCGAGGCTCCGTCCGACACCAGGCATCGGAAGTTTGTAAAGACATCTGAGTGATTCCAACGTGATCTGGGGTGCGAAGCACGTAGAGGGATGTGGTGGCTGGTTATGTTTGATTAAAATGAAATAGAGGCAAACATTCGGTTCCTCAGCCACACTAGCCACGTTTCACTGGTTCGACAGCACAGAAAGACAACATTTGCATCGTGAAGCAACCCCTGCTGGACAGTGCTGCCAAGACATTGGGTCCCTGCACTTAGGGGACCCAGATGATGGCACAAGGACTGGCACCGAGCAAACTTCACCGGGATCTAAGTTCCCAGACGTCTCTGTCACCCCTCCTTGTCCCCATGGCCACCCGGTCCTCATTATTTCCCTTTAGCTAGCTCTTCCCTTCTTGTCAAAGTCCCCTTGAAACCGGAAAAGACACTGGCGCTCGGACTGCCTGTCACTACCAAACCCAATAAGCGGAGACAGCGATGGAATCTTTATAGTACTTTATTCATGATCTGAGAAGATGGCAGGTTCATACCCTAACAGACGATCTTTATCTTCTCTTTCCAGGCCAGATTTTTTATACCAGGGAATAAACAAAGTGCGGTGAGGGCTCTGAGATTCAGGGAGGATTCAGGTGACAGAAGCTGCAACATTCCTGTCCTGGGCAGTTAGCTCTTCCCGGGGCGGGTGGTCCTCTGTCTCTCCCTGGAATACAAAGGCCCGGATGCCTCCACTTGTCCCCAGGTGGTAGGTGATCTCTAGCAGGGCCCCAGGAGGCCAGCTGTTTTCCCAGGAGCCGGGATGGTCCTTAGCTGCAGTTTCTGAAACAAAAGCTTTAACATATGTATTACTTGCTAAGCTTACAACTTTTTACCTTAAACTAAAATTTTCCAACTCTTGAGTCCCCTATCACCCTCAGAAAAGAAACTTACTTGTTATCTCTTCCTCCAAGGCCCATCTTAAAAGTCACCTCCTCTAAGAAGCCTTTCTACCCTGACCCAGGCCCCTGAGAGCCACCACAGTGCCTGTTTGTCTGTCTGTCCATCCCATCAGGCTGAGCTGTGGCAGGAACTGTACTGCATAGAGGATCTGGCACAGGGCAAGTGCTCAATGAATGTGTCAAAAGACTGATACTGGGCTGAATGCATGCATGGTGGCGTGGTCATGCAAATTATGACCAGCATTCATTGGTGGCCTTTTCTAGGGCCTTACTGGTATTAGCTGATGCCATGTATATTGAATAAGTACTATTCATTAGCCAAGCAGAGAAGGTATTTTCAGCAGAAGGGGTTCCCAGCTTCTGGAGATGGGGCTAGGGTAGAACCCTGACTGGGCTGTGGATGGAATGGGTAGTTCAAGGCATTCAAGCAAGATTGGCACAAACACAACCAGCCCCCAAACAAATAAACTCTCCCCCTCGCCTCCCTTTCCGGAGCCCCAGGAGCAGCGCACCTCTCCCGGGCTTCCCACCTGCTTGAGAAGTGTCCTTTGAACAACAGCCACTTTGGATCCAGAGCAAAAGGACTCTGGTAGCTGGCGTGGATCTCTTACTGCTTAGCTGTGGGAACTCAGTCAAGTATTTCCCCTCTGAACGGCAGGTTTCTCGTGTAGAACTGCTTTAAGAACACAAGCCAGGTACACCTGGTCTAGGGTTTAAATGAAGAGAGACACCTGTGGACGCTAACGGTCTGCCCCCAAATCAAGTGTGTTTTTCCTCCACTAGTGGGTCTCATGGTGCCCAGACCCAAGCACAGTCCCCCTCCGGGTAGGCACCAGGGACCCAGGATGCTCCCAGGGCCTGGCTGAGCGCTTCCTGAGGAGGTAAGGATTCAGATACCTCAGCAATTTCTGGCTGGAGGGAGGGGGCAGGTAGGAGACCAGAGGGGAAGGTGGCCCTGGAGTGCGTCCGGCGGGTGCTGTTAGCAGGCAGGGTCAGGAGCTCTGGTTTCGAGGATGCAAGCAGAAGGCGCAGCCAAACCCCAAACCATTATCCGGCCAGAGACAGAAAAGTGAATCAGAGGCAGCCAGGAAGAAGCCTGAGGTTAACCTCGTGCAGATTGCCGGCCAGGGTAAGGAAGGGGTTGCTGGGTGTCTGGGCTCCGGATGGGTGTCTGGCGATGCCTGGAACAAGGTGCGAAGGGCACTGGAGTGTGGGCAGAGCCCAGGCAGGCCCGAGGAGGCCCAGTCCACCGCTGGGCAGCCCTGGGGAGAGAGCCCACGTTCCCCACTCCGGTGAAGTGTCCTCTGCCAGGGCAGCACTTTTGTCCCTTGGCTTTCCACTCCAGTTTCTGGGAAGAGGGGGATGACCAGGCCCTGCTACTCTGGATGCTAGGACTGCTGAGGGAGCAAGATGGGCCACAGCAGCTTGGAAATCCCCAGGGCAAAGGGACGGAACCACAGAGAGCCTGGACTTGGGGGTTAGGGCTCGGGGGGCTGCAGGGGGCGAGGCCACAGGAAAGCCCACGCTGATGAGTCATTGCTGCCAGCAGGCACCTGGGGCTGAGCGGGTTGCCCCTGTTAGGACAGAGCCCAGGAAAGAGTTCCTATTACCATCAAAATTAAATTGATGCTAATGTAAACTGATTGTTATAACTTAAGATACTAATGGTAACCCCCAGGGCATCCATTTAGAAAACATATAATAAGAAATGACAAGATCATTAAAATGGTATGCTTGAGTAGCTTTCTTCGAAAGCCTCACTCCCCAGCTGTCAGGGAAGCACCTTGGGGAGCCCCGGATGCCCTGAGGAGGGAAGAGGTGCCCGCGTCCTCACCCCCTGCCCTCCCGCACCAGCCACCCCTCAGGGTCAAATACCAACGTTCCTTCATTTTCCAAGTGCATTCTCAAATGTTTCCTCACGGCTCTGAGGGGCAGGCTTTACGATATCAGTTCCCTAAGGGAGGGCCCTGAGGCTCTGAGATGTTAGGTAAATAGCCAGAGGACACCAGCCTAGTGTGGAAGCTGGTGTTAAAATGAGGCCTCCGCACTTGGCCACCAAGATGCTGGCTTCCTTGTCCTTTTTGTAAATTTTAAAATATCTTTAAAATCTTAAAAATCAAATATCGAACATACCAAAGTAAAGAGACAGTGAACGGAGCCTCCCTGTGGCCATCGCTCAGCTCCGAGAGTTAGGGCCAATCTGGACCCATCTGCATGCACAATGTCCCCTGACCCCCTCCCATGAATTTGAAGCAAATCCCAAATATGTCCTTTTGAATTGGAAAATTTCAATACGTGTATGTAAAAGGTAAGGATTTGTCTTTTAAACATAACCACAAATGCTATTACTATTTCTGAAAAACTAATACTTTCTTAATATTATCAAATATCTAAGTTAGTGTTTCAGTTTCTCTGTCTCTTAAATGTCCTTTTGAGTTTGTTTGAATCTGGACCCAAATATTATACTTACCTTACAACTGGTGGACACACTCCTTAAGCCTCTTTTCATCGAGAGGTCCCCCTCCCCTCTCATCTCCCCCTCTAAGCAGTTTATCTGCTGGGAAAAAAAATGGTTCATTTGTGCTGCACAGTTTCCCCAAAGCTGGATTTTTCTGACTGCAGTGTCACTGTGTCACTGATGTGTCCTCTGTTCTTATAAAGCACAGAGGAAGTTAAATTGAAGACTTGATCAGATTCAGGGTCAGTTTTTTGACAAGCATACTCCATAGATGCTGCCGTATACTTGGATCAGGAAGTATATAGGACTGACCATCTCCTTCGTCCTCGTCACATTTTTATCTATAAAACTTGGAAACAGCCCTGGCTGGTGTAGCTCAGTGGACTGAGCATGGGCCTGCAAACCAAAGGGTTGCCAGTTCGATACCCAGTCAGGGCAGGTGCCTGGGTTATGGGCCAGGTTCCTGGTACAGGCATGAGAGAGGCAACCACACATTAATGTTTCTCTCATTCCCTTCCCCTCTCTTAAAATAAGTGAATAAATAAAATCTTAAAAAAAAACAACCCTTAGAAACAGTTTAAAAGTCCAATACTAGGGGAAAAGTTACATAATGATAGTTTATTGTTACCATAGAATTTTATGCAGTCATTAATAATCATAGTTTTCAAAACATATTGAGTGATAAGGGGAATGCTTATCAAATAATGTTAAGAAAAAAGCAGGAATAAAAAAATATATACGGAATGCCATATATCTATACAGAGGAAAAAGATAAGATACCACTAATTGCAAAAAAAAAACCCAACCAAAACCCAATTATGCTAATAGAGGCTTTTGCTAAGGGTTAGAATGGGAGATTTATTTGCTTTCTTTATTCTTTCTGTATTTTTCAAGCCTTAGTCATATGTTCATATCACTCTTGCGATCAGAGAAAATAATTTA